AATAAATAAATAAATAAAAATTGAGGGGAGAAAGACAGACATTTACAATGGAAGCCTCTAAGCTGTCACTCCCGTGTGGTTAGCTGTCTCCCGCTCCTGCAGCCTCAGCTGGGGGGGCGGGGGGCACAGACCCGGATCACAGAGCTCCAGTTGGGGGGACGACACCAGCTCATAGGTGGGAAGAGCTTAGAAAATGCCTGCCACCTGGTAGGCACGCCCTCGATTTTAGCTGTTATTACAGGTGCCATGGCCTGGCAGAAACAGCCCCGGACAGCGGCCACCACCAGGCTGGAAAAGTGAGTCCCCTCTCCCTCCCTGCCACCCATCGGTCAGCCCCAGGGCCACCCCAGGTGGGCTCCGGCTCCAGAGAAGGGGACCCCCTGGCTCTCTGGAATGCCAAGGGCTTCCTGTGTGGGTGCCTACGTGCCCGGATGACCTTATTTAGTCCCACATCCGCCTGACCACAGGCTTCACAGATGCAGAGGGTCAAGCTTTGGGCCATGGAGCAACTTGTCTGAGGGTCCCAGTGCCTGTACCGTCTCCTGTCTGGCGTGTGGCTGGGGCCAGCCTGGGCATTTGCCTTTTCAGGGTCTTCTCTCCTCCCCAACTGGCCGCCCAGGCATCCCCCTGAACACCCCAAGCCCCAGCAACCAGAGGGCCTCAGAGCCAGGGCCGTGTGACCACCAGCCCTGCAGAGGTCACCACGGGGGTGTGCTGGCCACTCCCTGCCGGCTGCCTCGCAGACAACGCCCCAGCACATGGGCACTTCCCTCCACCCAGCGGTGCCCTGACTGCACGGTCCCCAGCGCTGGGAGCTCCAGGAGACATGAGTTGGGGCCGCCGATGGCATCAGCTGGAACCCAGAGGGATCCAGAGAGAGGCGGTCCTGGGCAGCCGAGGGATGCCAGGCCCCAGGAGAGACTGGGGGAACACGGCACGAACCTCTGGGGCCCGGCCCTCCCGGGCATGACTGTCCTTGTGCAGAATCGAGGGGTCCCCAGGACAGCCCCCATTTTGCAGCCAGAGTAACCGACAGAGGAAGGGCCTGGGTCACACGTCATTCTGGTGGGATGTGGGGTCTCGTTCTAAGCAGAGCACCCAGAACGGAGCATGGAGACCTGAGTTGCACCGGCTCATGGGGCACAGGACGCAGCCCGGGCCTGGGCGACCCGGCCCCTGGCTCCCACGGCCCATGAGAAACGGGGGACTTACCCACGTAGTTCTCGACGTCGCTGACGTAGAAGGTGGGGGCCGGGACTGCCAGGCCCAGCCCGTCTTTCTTGGGGACGAGAATGGGCTCGGTGAAGCCGTGCTCCTCCATGTAGCCCAGCGTGAGCTGGCTGCCCGGCACGCGGGCCACCACGTCCTCCGCACTGCGGGGAAGGCGGGTCGGAGGTCACATTGGGCCGGGTCCCAGCCTCCCCGCACCGTGACAGGCCCGGACAGGGCCTCAGGGCCAGAGACATGGGGCCCAATCTCCAGCCGCAGGTCTCCCACAGCCCCAGGAGGAGGACTCGCCACAGCACCACGTCTGGGGGTCACCGGGCAGCCACAGGGCAGACACGGCAGATCCCACTCCCTCGTCACAGACGGACCCTTGAGGGCCAGGAGGCCGAGGCACCTGCCTGGGGCCGTGGTGAGTGGGGGACAAGGACACACAGCACCCATCCCTCCTGCTGGGGCAGACGGAGGCTCAAGAGGCTGGAGTGAGGTCCCTGCCCCACCCTTGTTTTCCACCCGCCCCCCCACCCCACTCAGAGAGATTCCTCCCAAGTGAGACCCTGCATGGGGTGCGTCCAGAGCCTGAGAACGCAGCAGGTGGAGACAAACCCCTTTTCAGGGAGAACCTGTCCCCTGGACAAGTGAGTACAGGACTCAGAAGCACCTGGCTGCTTCCGTCAGCAGCCCCCCGTCCTCCCTGCCCTGCTGTGTGCTGGGTGCCGCCCTGGGCATTGAGGACCGAATGGCCCCTGCGTGGTGACAATAGAAACAGGCTTTCATCAACGAGCACACAAGGCCATAAACCCACAGCTGAGAGCAGGACTGTGGGGGAGACAGCAGGAAACGGCGTCAGATTGGGCCTGTCGAGGCCAGAGGAGCAGGAGTGAGAGGGACGGGGCTCTGGGCAGAGGGATGTGCCAGCAAAGGCCTTGGACAGAGAGAACAGGGCAAATGTGAGAACAAGAGGGAGCCCAGGCGTCTGGGGGCAGGGGGGTTGGGGGGCCAGGCTGCGGAGGGCCTGTCTGCCCTGGCTACAGCCTTCCGCCTCGTGCCACGAGCACTGGGGACCCACCAGACAGCCTGAGAGGCTGGCTGCTGTGTGGACAGACAGTGAGCTGCAGCAGGATCAGGGCGGGGTGGGGACCGTGAAGGAGGAGCCTCAGCACGTGGCACCTGGACAGGAGGCGGCAGGGAGGGAGGAGGTGGACTCAGGAGATCAGCCGGGCAGGAGAACAGGAGAGGAAAAGGCCGATGGCCGAGGGACCGGCTGGAGTGACCAGTGACCGAGGGCTGGAGGAGGGGCAGGAGCGGGCGGGGGCAGGCCCAGGGTGCGTGGGGACACACGTGGTCTGCAGTGTGTGTCAGATTCACCACTGGATGCACCTGCTTGACAGACGGGTCGGGAGCCCAGGAGGACGAGAGGCTGGAGAAGGAGGCTGAGGACTCGCTGGCCAGGGACAATCGGTGACGTGACATCTCAGCCGTGAACGCTGAGGTGGGCCGAGAGCAGAGTCCCCAGAACCCCTCGGGGGAGCCGTCAGCAGGAGAGGAGGAGACAGAGGACAGCCAGGAGAGCCAGTGCCACAGTCTCCGCGGAGGACAGGACTCAAGCAGAGCGGGGCCGCACGGCCACATTTTGCCAAGAGGTCAGCTAAGGTGAGGACTGAAGAGTGACCCCTGGGCCGACCCCAGGGTGATAGGGTGTTCAGGACAAACCAGAGGAGTGAGAGGGAGGTGAGGAAGCAGAACAAATGTGTGTAGCGAACACTCTCAGAAGCTCTGGGAGTAGCAGGACAGCGCAAAGGCAGCCGCAGAGCCACGAGGCAGCCAGAGGGGGAAGGTCGGCCTGACAAAGCAGGATCCCAAGCTCCTGGCTCAGGGGTGAGGGTTCCAAAGTCGCACTACACCCACGGGTTGGGTCTGGAACTGCAAAACCACAAGGACCCAGCAAAAGGCAAACAGGAAACCGTCCCGTAGGGACGCTCCAGAGCCCGGGGCAGACCGGCTGCCGTGGAAGATCACGCGCACAGGAGGAGGTGGAGCACAGGAGGGAGAGCCAGCAGAAGCATCTGCCAAAAAAAACAGGTCCCAAGAACTGAGGATAATGGAACAGTCGAAAAGGAGATTTTGAGACAAATATATTAAACACATTCAAAGAGATAATGAGAAGATTAGGAAAATAACACAGAAGGAGGAAAAAAGAACAGGCAACATTGAAAAGGAACTTAACAGAAATTCTAGAGATGAAAAATATGATGATTGAAATTTTAAAAAACTCAGTGGATGCATCAAATGCTGGCTCGCTGAAAAAAAGAGTGAACTGGATGAAAGATTTGAAAAACAATACAGAGAATGGGGAAGAAGTGCTATTAAAGAGAAAATAGAACATTTTTCAGAATTAAGATAAAATACAAATCCTCAGATTAAAGGATCTTACTGAGTTCTAAGCAGGATAAATAAAAACAAATACACACCTAGAGGCATCGTAGTATACCTGTAGTACATCAAAGATGAGTAGACAGTCTTAAAAGTTTTCAGAGAAAAAAACAGATTATTTACCAAAATAAGCAAAACCCCAGCAACTAGACTGACAACAGACATTTCATCGGCAACAAGAGATGTCAAAGGCAATAAAATAATATCTTCAAAGTGTTCAAGGAAAATAACTTTTATCCTAGAATTTTATATCTATTTTAGAAAATTACAATTATTCAAGAATAAGGACGAAATGAAAACATTTTCAGACACAGAGAATATTTTTATAGGCCTTTACTAAAAGAACCACTAAAGGAAATAGTTCAAAAAGAAATCAAATCTAGAAGGAAGAAGTAGGATTCAAGAAACAATGGAAAATTGATCTACAGATTCCATACAATCTCTATCAAAATACCAGTTGACTTCTTTGCAGAAAGTGACAAGTGGAACCTGGAATGCTGGGCAAGGCGCCCAGATGACCAAAACAGTCTCACGAAAGGAGAACAAAGTTGGAGGAATGAACAATTTCAAAACTCACTACAAAGCTACAGTAATCAAGACTGTGTGGTACCAGCATAAGAGACATATGGATCAATGAAACAGAACTGAGTGTCCAGAAATAAACCCAAACTTCTGTGGTCAACTGCTTTTCATCAACGGTGTCAAGACAATTCAGTGGAGAAAGAACAGTCATTTCAGTAAATGGTGCATGGGAGAACTGGATATTCACATGCAAAAGAATTAAGCTGGACCCTACCTCACACCATATACAAAACTTAACTCAAAATGAGTTAAAGACCTAAATATAAAAGCTAAAACTATAAAATTCTTAGAACAAAACACAGAAATAAATCTTCATGACCTTGGATTTGGCAATAGTTCCTTAGATTAGATACCAAAACCACAAGCAACAAAAGAAAAAATAGATAAATTAGACTTCATCAAAATTATAAACCTTCGTGCTTCAAAGGACACCATCAAGACAGTGAGGGGCCAGTCCAGTGGCGTAGTGGTTAAGTGTGCTCTGTTCTGGCAGCCTGGGGTCTGCAGGTTCAGATCCCAGGTATGGACCTATGTATCGCTTATCAAGCCATGTTGTGGCAGTGTCCCACATATAAAGTAGAAGAGAACAGGCACAGATCTTAGCCCAGGGCCAATTTTCCTCAGCAAAAAGAGGAGGCCCAGCAACGGATGTTAGCCCAGGGCCAATCTTCCTCACCACAAAAAAGAAGAAAGTGAAAAGACAACCCACAGAATGGGAGAAAGTATCTCACAAGGGACAGGCATCCAGAATATGTAAAGGTCTCTTACAACTCAACAATGAAAGGACAATCCAATTAATGAGAAGGAGTTAATGTGGAACTGGACTTCTGTTTTCAACTCCAACATGTAAAGAGCTTTGCAATTGTCACTCCCATCCTCACAACAACAAAAACGCTGCACAAACCGAAAATCAACAACTTTTCTTATATTCATCAGAGGATTAGGGTTACAGGGCAAATAGCCACCCCAAAATGTGGGGAGACAGGCAAATACAGAAAATCACAGTCAAGATAACCTTACCTGAAGCAGAAGCCACTGGAGGTAGTAACCAGGAAGAGTACTTCAACAGTAATTTTTGACAAACTGTGGAAGTTGGGTGTGGACTAGTTTAAGAGTTAAAAACTCAGGAGGAGGGGCCAGCCCCATGGCGTAGTGGTTAAGTTCATGTGCCCCACTTCTGCAGCCCAGGTTTGCAGGTTCGGATCCCAGGCACCGACCTATACCACTCCTCAGCCATGCTGTGGCAGCGACCCACATACAAAAAAAAATAAAGGAAGATTGGCACAGAGGTTGGCTCAGGGTGAATCTTCCTCAGGGGGAAAAAGAAAACTCATGACGGCCCAGTCTCAGAGGAGCCCCCCACGGGTTTTCCCTCCAGGAGCTCTACCAGCTTCTCCTGGTGAAGGCCGGGGGAGGGGAAAGTAAGAGTGTGGAAGTGCATTCAGAGTGCTCTCCATCACGGAAGTCTACCCTCTGGCAGAACTTACTTCACCAGGCCTCTACATGACAGAGACAAGGGCAGGCAGCCAACTCCAGCCCCACCAGCCTCCTGTCTCAGGTGAGCAGACAGACAGCAAAGGCCAAGAAATGGCCCTGAAGCTAGCAGTGCAGGGCCTCGCGTCTCTGAACCCTAAGACTTACCATTACATTACAGACACTTCCCTCCCCAACCTTACACCTCTTAACAATATGATAATGGTTGAGTGTAACTGAGAGAGCTGCAAGACAGGCTCAAAGAAGGAGTTCTTAGGAAAGCCAAAGAAAACAGGAGAGGGAGGAAACTAGAAGAACGTGACGCCTCTGGCCCCTCAGCTACAGCAAACCAGCCCGGCCCCCAGTCAGGTCAACACGAAACCTCACACAGGGGCCAGTCCGGTCGTGCAGCAGTTAAGTTCACATGTTCTGCTTCAGCGGCCTGGGATTTGCTGCTTCGGATCCTGGGCACGGACCTACTGAACGCTCATCAAGCCATGCTGAGGCAGCGTCCCACATAGAGGAGCTATAACTCTACAAGTATGATACACAACCATGTACTGGGGCTTTGGGGAGAAAAAAAAAAAAGAGGAAGACTGGCAACAGATGTTAGTGCAGGGCCAATCTTCCTCAAAAAAAAAAACAAACGAACAAAGAAAAAAACCTCACACAAAAGGCCTAACTCCCTCAGTTCCTATTACTCAATATATCATGTCCAGCGTTCAACAAAAAAATCACAAAGTATGCTAACAGGCAAGAAAAACCACAGCCTGAAGAGACAGAACAAGCATGAGAACAAGGCTCAGATACAGAATGTGGAAGTGTCGAACAGGAAATTCTTACAATGATGAGTACTATGTCAGGAGTGCTAATGGGGAAAGTGGACGACATGAAGAACAGATGGGCAATACAAGCAGAGAGGTGGAAACTCTAAGACTCAAAAGGGAATGCTAGAAATAAAAAAAAACCATACAGAAGAATGCCTTTGATGGGCTCATCAGTAGACTGGACACGGCTGAGGAAAGAATCAGTGAGCTTGAAGTTACGTCAACAAAAATTTCCCAATGTGAAATGCAAAGGAAAAAAAAAGAATGACAAAAGTGGGGAACAGAATATCCAAGAAATGTAGGACAATTACAAAAAGAGGAACATATTCATGATGGGAATACCAGAAGGATAAGAAGGAAAGAAGGGAGCAGAAGAAATGTTTGAAATAATAATGGCTCAGAATTTTCCAAAAGTAATGACAGACATGAAACCACAGATCCAGAAGGCTTCAGACAACATCAAGCAGTATAAATGTCAAAAAATCTATATGTAGGCGTGTCATATTCAAACTGCAGAAAATTAAAGACCAGGGGAACATCTTGAAAGAAGCCAGATGAGAAAGATCTAGTGCTGACATGATATGGTGTGAAGAACTCTACCAACCCACACCCCAGTGAAACCGGTGAAAATTATTTAAAAAACAACTCTTCAAAGCCTCTGGAAATGGTCCTAAAAGCAAACAGCAAATGAAGAAACATCTATTCAAGAAAATCTATGAAAAACTGGTAAGAAAAACAAGAATATGTGATATGTGGACCAAGACCACTCCCTCCCTATACCTTCTAACTCAGGGAGGAGGGGGTTCCCTCCAGAAGGCTGCAGCCCAGAACACAGGAATGCTGAATGGAACTCTTTCTTCCTGGAGGAACAAGACCTTAGTCTTTCCCATTCTGCCCCAGCTGTCTGTTGCTGAGGCTTAGACTTGGGGGAGGGCAGCCAAACGGTGGGGGCTCCCTTCTCCCACCCAGCACGCACTTGTGGAACTGGGGCTCTACCCTGAGTGTGGCACACTGAGAATACAGGGCCCTGATCACCCTTGCCCGGCCACTCAACATTCTATTGGAAGTCCCAGCCAGAGCAATTAGGCAAGAAAAAGAAATGAAAGTAACTCAGATTGGAAAGGAAGAAGTAAAACCAACTACTTGCAGACATGATCTCGTACATAGAAAGTCATAAGGAATCTACTAAAATACTATAGAGCTAATGATCCAGCTCAGCAAGGTCACAGGATACAAGATCAATACACAAAAATCAATTGTATTTCAGTACAGTAGCAATGAACAATCTGAAAATAAAATTAAGAAAACAATTTCATTTACAAGAGTATCAAAAAGAATAAATTACTTAGGAACAAATTTAACAAAGGAAGTGCAAAACCTATACTCTGAAAACCACAAAACATTGTTGAAATAAATTTAAAAGGTCTCAATAAATGGGAAAGTATCCCATGTGCATGAGTCAGAAGACTCAACGCCGTTAAGATGGCAAACACTCTGATTCTGCTCATCTGCAGAGTCAACACGACCCCTGTCAGGGTCCTAGCTGACCCCTTTGTAGAAACTGACAAGCTGCTCCTAAAATTCATATAGAATTGCAAGGGACCCAGAATGACCAAAACAATCTTGAAATAAAAAAACAAAGTTGGAGGACTCACACTTCTCGATTTCAAAACTTACTGCAAAGCTACAGTAAACAAGACAGTGTGAGACTCGACTGAGGAGAGACAGAGATCAGTGGAAGAGAACTGAGTGTCCAGAAACAAATGCACACGTCTCTGGCTAAGCGACTTTCAACAAGGGTGCCGAGACCACTTAACTGCAAAAGAACTGTCTTTTCAACAAACGGTGCAGGGACAAATGGATAGCCACATGCGAACAAATGAAGTTAGAGCCTTACCTCACACCATCCGCAAAAATTAACTCCAAATGCATCAAAGACCAAACTACAAGACCTGAAACTACAAAACTCTTAGAAGAAAACAGGGATAAACTTTCATGATCTTGGATTTGGCAAAGGATTCTTAGAAATGACAGCAAAGGGCCGACCCCGTGGCTTAGCAGTTAAGCGCACGTGCTCCACTTCTGGCGGCCCGGGTTCGGATCCCTAGCTGCCTGGGTTCGGATCCCAGGCGCGCACCGACGCACGGCTTCTCCGGCCATGCTGAGGCCTCATCCCACATACAGCAACTAGAAGGATGTGCAACTATGACATACAACTATCTACTGGGGCTTTAGGGGGAAAAAAAAAGGAGGAGGATTGGCAATAGATGTTAGCTCAGAGCCAGTCTTCCTCAGCAAAAAGAGGAGGATTAGCATGGATGTTAGCTCAGGGCTGATCTTCCTCACACTAAAAAAAAAAAAGAAAAGAAAAGAAATGACAGCAAAAGCACAAACAACAAAAGAAAAAGCAGATAAATTAGACTTCATCGAAATTACAAATGTTTGTGCTTCAAAAGACTCCATCAAGAAAGTGAAAAGTCAACCCACAAAATGAATGGATCAAGTAGTCACAAATCATATATCCAACAACAGACTTGTATGTAAAATATATAAAGAACTCTTACAACTCAATAATATAAAGACAAAAAAATTAAAAATGGGTAAAGGATCTGAATCGCCGTTTCTCCAAGGAAGACATACAAAGGACCAACAAGCACACAAAAAGATGCACTACATCACCAGTCCTTAGGGAAACACGAACCACCACCACAGCGAGAGATCACTTCATGCCTGCAAGGACGGTTAGAATCAAAAAGTCAGGTAATGACAAGTGCTGGTGAGGACTCGGAGGAACTGGAGCCCTCACACGCTGCGGGTGGGAACGGAAAGTGGTGCAGCCACTTTGGAAAACAGGCCGGCAGTTCCTCAATTAGAGTTACCGCTAAAAACTTAAAAACGCACGTCCACACAAAACCTTTTATAAGAACGTTTATAGCAGAATTATTCACAATAGCCAAAAATCAGAAATCACTCAAGTGTCTGTCCACGGATGAATGGATAAACAAAATGTGGTCTAGCCACACACTGGAATACTATTTGCCCATAAAAAAGGAATGAAGCACTGACACCTGCTACAACATGGATGAACCTTGAGGACGTTATGCTAAATAAAGAAACCAGACACAAAGGGCCACATATTATATGACTCCATTTAGATGAAACATCCAAAATAGGCAAATCTACAGAGAGAGAAAGCAGATTAGCGGTTGCTTAGGACTGGGGGAGCAGGGGGTTGGGGGTACCAGTTTCTTCTGGGGTGACAAACATGTTCTAAAATTGGTGGTGATGCACATATCTCTGAATACACTAAAGACCACTGAAGTGTACCCTTCAAATGGGTGAATTGTAGGATATATGAATTATATCTCAATAAAGGTGGGGAAAAAAACAGAGAAGAAAAAGGAAAGAAGCCAGAGGGGGAGAACACCTCATCCACAGAGGAGTGCCAGTAAGAGCCACACTGGATTTCTCATCAGAAGTCATCACACAAGAAGACAATGGGGTGAAATATTTCAGATGTTAAGAGGAAAAAAATCCCACCAACTTAGAATTCTGTGTCCAGAGAATTATCCTTCCAAAGTTAAGGAGAAAGACAGACTTTGTCAGACAAACAAAAACCATCTTCTGGCCGTGAAGGGGCCAGGGCGGCTCAGAGCAGCTCAGAGCAGCTTTAGAACCAGCAGTGGCCGTCAGGGCGCCTCTGTCTCACCAGAAGCCGTCCCCAACGCCCTGCCCCTGCCCTTGCCCTGCCCTGGCCTGGCTCTCTGCCCTCACGCAGGACAGGGTGCTCTGAGGTCACCTAGGACACCCGTCAGGCCCGCGGGCGCAGAGTCCAGCACGTGCCCGTGGGCACCAGGACCGGCCACGGTCGGAGGGTGGTCTTAGGCTGGACAACAGCCCCGGCTCCTCGTCCATGAGCTAGGGAGAGCGGCCTTTCCCTCTGGAAGGTTCCGTGGGAAGGGCCACTCCAGGTGAGGGAGACAGGTGTGCCCGAGGAAGAAGGGTCCCAGCACAGCCCCCAGAGGTGCCGGGGCGCCTGGGTCTCGGGGCCACGCTCCCCCCGGAGGGGCCCACGCCATCCACCTGGGGAAGGTCCGACTCCGCAGCTCCTTGATGAAGAGCTGGCTGCCGTTCTGCACGGGCTTCACGTCGGGCGTCTGCCCCGGGCTGTGTTTGTGCCAGGTCCGCTTCTTCTTTACTGCGGGAGACGGGGCAGGTGGGCCCAAAGGCCCTCCCCGCGGCCCCCTCCCTCCCCGCGGCCCCCTCCCTCCCCGCAGGACCCCCTCCCTTCCCGAGGGGTCCCTCCCTCCCCGCGGGCCCCTCCCTCCC